CAGCCAGGGCTACACAGAGAAACCCTGTCTTGAAAAACCAAAAGAAGAAGAAGGAGGAGGAGGAGGAGGAGGAGGAGGAGGAGGAGGAGGAGGAGGAGGAGGAGGAGAAGGAGAAGGAGAAGAAGAAGAAACAACTAAGATCCCGAGGGGACTTGTCTAGGGGCTCCCAACCCTCTTCCCATGAGTGGAGGGTGCCTGGCCCTCCACATTTGGGGGACAGACAGCATTTCTACTACAAGAACCCTATGTAAGGCCTTTAGACAGTGGATTCATGGCTCCACGAAGGTCAAGTGGGTAGGAGGGACCATAGAAATAAAAGATTGAGACAAAGAAAGTGAAGTTAAGCTTCAGCAAATAGAGTCTACCTGAAGCAGAGACTCAGAAGAAGCCTGACGGTGGAGTCTGGGAGCCGTGCTGGGACATCAACACTCAAAGAAAGATTTTCGTGGGGCTGGAGAGATGGCTAAGTAGTTTAGAGCCTGAATGTCCTTCTAGAGGATCTGGGTTTCAGTCCCAGCATCTACATGGCAGCTCACAACTGTATGTAATTCCAGTCTCAAAGGATTAAATGCTCTCTTCTGACCTCCAAAGGTACCAGGCATGAATATGGTACAGAGACATATATATTCAGGCAAAACACTCATGCACATAAAGTAAGTTAAATTTTTTAAAGAAAGGTTTTCATGCCCATGGCCTTGAAAGATGATTAAAGCCACTTTTGTTGATGAGAGAGTGACTCAAGAAGGAGCCTACTAAAATCACTAGGTATCCAGTGACAGGCAGGGCTTGAGGCAAAGGCTTCAAAAGGGGAAAGGAGAGGCGGAGGACCCCACCCTGCTCTCCATCTGTGAGGGTTTGAATGAGAATGGTACCGATAAACTCCTAGGCCTATCATCTCCAGTTGGTGGAACTGTTTGGGAAGGATCAGGAGGTGTGGCCTCACTGCAGGAAGTATGACATGCGGGTGGGCTTTGAGGTTTCAAAAGTCCATGCCGTTCCCAGTTAGTTCTCTCTCCGCCCCACCCCTCTCTCCGCCCCACCCCTCTCTCCGCCCCACCCCTCTCTCTCATCTTAGGGATGAGATGTCAGCTCTCAGCTACTGCTCCAGCAGCATCTCTGGCTGCTGCACCGCTGCTGTGCCGCATCTCGCCCAGAACGATAATGAGCTCTAACCCTTTGAAACTGTGAGCCCCAATAAACATTTTCCATTAGAAAGCTGCCTTGCTCAGCAATAGAAAAGTAACTAAGCCACTGTCACTTCCTCACCTGGTGACTTAATTCCGGCGTCAAGACCAAAGAAAGCTAAGGAGTTCCACTTGAGCAGGCTGGTGCTGTGTGTGTCAAGAACATGTCTACGTTCCACTTAGGACTCAATGTGAGATTACCCCAGGGTTTCCTCCTGGCTTGGCACATTAGATCCCAGGGATGAGGAGTGAGGGCTTGGAGACTTCCAGCTGCGGGATCCGAGGGTCCCAAGCATTTTTCCTACCCTCCCCGACTTAAAACTACCTAATCTAAATTTGGGGGCAGGAGGTCTAAGTCCTTATACAAGTTCTTACACCTCCAGAAAACTTCTGCTCTGGCTGGGCTGTCCCCAGACAGTGTTAGATGTGATCCTGCTGAAAAGTGCTTCTAACAACAGCGTGCCCTAAGGTTTCTACATCTGTGAAATGGGACGATAACAGCACCAGCTCTGCAGGAACTGAGGTCTAATTGAATATGCACAAAGTGGCAATCCTTGCACCTACCATAAACTAGGACTCAGAATGCTTTATGCTTTGGTATGCAAAATGCCTCCATGTATGTATGTGTATGTATGTATGTGTGTATGTATGTACAGATGTATGCATATGTGTGTGCACACATGTTCATGTGGGTGTAGGAATGTATGTGCCATGGTGTCATATCATCACACATAATTAAAAACAAAGCTAAAAGAAGAGGAGGAGGAGGAAAAAAAAGCAGCAGCTGCTGCTTAGGTAAAGAAAGGATTAGATAAAAACAAAACAAACAAACAAACAAACAAAAACATATCTTTACCTAGTCAGGACTACCCTCCTTTATATAAGCCATGAGCTCCATGGTCCCTTGAACATGCTCTTAGTCCGAGGCCTTTCTCAGGCACACAAAGCACAGAAACTGAGGTGGTGCTGGAGTATTCAGCCCAAACCTCCTTCCTTCCTCCTTTCCCCCCTGTATCATCCACCCTAGTGGTCCAGCTCTCAGGAGGCTCCCTCTTCCACCTGCCTGATGCAGTAGATTCCAACATGTCTGGCCTTTGTATCTTCTCTGCTATCAAATCACCTCAACTCTGCTTACTTGTGAAGCTGAAGGGACCACACCAGTGACTTAGTGACAGGGGCTTAGGATTGATCCTTAACCTTGCTGGCTCTCAGGAGAGGACTCCGGGTCCTGGCTTGCTCTGGGCAGTCACTACACCCCCTTTTGTGACACGATTGTGACAAGAAAAGCCATTACGAAGCTTTTCTTTCCCACAAATGCCCTCGTGGGCAGAACAGGCTGGAGCTGAGCTCAGCTCCAGTCAGACTCCATGTCACAGCAACTTGGTATCTTAGGGAGAAACTTTCCAAGGTCATCTCATATGGGAGGTCCCTTCAAGCCTGGTTTCCTGACTTCCCAGCCTGGGCCTCCCTTAACTGTTCCCTCTCCTGCTCACCCACCATTGGTTCAAATGTCTAGATAGGATAGACAGACAGAATCCCGGGACCCGGGACCAAACGTCCTGTTACTTTCTCTGAGAAAAGCCTCTATCCACAAGGCTAGCTCAGGATGCTCTCAAGCTGCAGTTTCCAAAAGCCTGCCAGTTCTCCTCCAAGCTCTCCTCTGGCACTCAGGATAGACCTCAGAACCTAGAGTAAGGAGGGCTAGCACTGTAGGGGGCTGTTTCAGGGAAATGAAGGCAAGCAACATCTGCTTCAGGGTCTCCCTAGCCCCTGAATCTAAGAAACATCTCAAGTAGAGACTGAGACATGGTCTCTCCTACCTTTCTACCTATCTGAGGTAAAAAGGACAATATGGCTTTACTCCCTTCTTCTTCGATCAGAGCCTGGGAGCACTGAGTGTGTGGACGCATGGTTGCCCTCTTGCCCCAACTCTGCCCGAAGTGGGAGTTTCTAGCCACTGAGTTTAGGCAGTTGTTTAATCATTGTGCCCAGCCTCTTGCTGCCCACACAATAACATGCCATCCAAGGAGCTGGTTGAACCAGCTTTCCCAGGCCCAGCACAGTGTGTGGCTCGACTTCCGCACAGGGAGGCAAGAGCCCTGCCAGGCTGGGCCCGTGCTACCAGTTATCTCCTGTGCCCCCGAATGCAAAGCCAGATTTGTGGAACCGGCCTGAGACATAGGGCAGGCCTTCCCCAGAAGCCTCTTACCTCAAAAGCCATAGAAATTAAGGTCTAGGAAGGCAAAGGCTCTTCCCAACCAGGGATACAAGGCAAACTAGATGCAAAGCTGGGCTAGAACTTAGGCTTTGAAACCCTGAGGCTGAAAGGAGGAGAAAGGTAGGTGGAGATGTGAGAGTTGAGTAAACAAAAGAGAAGGAGAAGGTGAAGGGAGAAGGCTGCCAGGTAGCTAGAGGAACAGCCACCTTCCCAACTAGGACAGGAGCCTAGGTGTGGGGGGAACTTATCTGCTGTTCCCTATAGTAAAGTCAGAGGGCTGCCCAGAGTAAAACTCCCTGACCTCAGGGCCTAGGGTCCTGGGAGCCAGCCCCACGCCCTGCATATATTTTTCCTGAGTTACTAGCCCCAGGGAGGACCACACCTCTGTCTTGACATCTGCCTTCCCTAAGTCCCAGGACTCAGCCCCTGGCTCAATCGTTATGCAAGAGAAGCCCAGCTTGGGAAGTGGGAGATAGACTGGTCCATGTGAACAGAACCCTGGACCCCTGGTTGTATCCCCCCAACCCCCACCCCCACCCAGCTGAGTGCCCCATGTGACCCAGGATGAGTCATTTCACTGGCAGTTCCTTAACAGTTCCAGCAGCAACAGGCAGGGGCTCATCCTGTCCCTCCCCTGTGCCAGGGACCATGAGAACTGAAAACGTGATGGGCCTGGAAGGCTGCCAATATGAATGTGTCCTTGGGGAGCTGGAGGGAGGAAGGGATAGGGCCGGCTGAGCCAGACTTGTGTGCAACCACTCTCCTGCGGACAGACTTCATCTGCCAAAATGAGGGCAGATAGTGGCTAGCAGTGTAGGGATAGTGGCTAGCAGACAGGGCAGAGAGGGAGTCTGCACTCAGATGCTGAGAAGAGAGAGCCTCTGAGAGGGGAAAGACAACCTGCAAATGTGTCTTACCTGTGTCTTGGTCCTCCTTGAACCCACGGGTTCATCTAAGACAAGACCTGGGTCCTGGTTATCTCTGTGTTCCCAGAACTCAGAGTAATACCTTGGGGTTCCATGCATGATGGGGGTAAATGAGACACAGAAAAAAAAACCAAAGCAAATCAAAAACCGGAATGGACAAGAGGCATACACAGAGCTCAGTGAGAACAGAGACCAAAGCTGCCCCCACTACCCCTCTCCCTACAACAGCACTCTCCAGAGAACCGTTTGAACGCACTTGTTGAGCAGCAAAGGAGACGGAGACAGGAAAGTGTGATGAGCTGCTCTCAGTCCAGGCTTTCCCATATTCCCAGGGACCAGCGGACTCATGTAGGGCTTACCTTTCTGCAGGTGGATAATGTCAGGGAAGTTGGAGAGTAGGCCCTGGTAGAGAGACAGTGTGTCAAGCATTTGGAAGAGGTCGTGCTTGGGCTGCTCAGCAAACATTTCTCCAACAGTTTCGTAGGTCCGGCCAGTGTGCGAAATGGCATTGTTGAGTGCCTCAGACCTAAAGGGAGGGTCCATCTGGAAGGCATGGCTAATGGCCTGGAAGGCACTTCCTAGCTTCTGGAATTCCTTACGGAAGCCTCCCACATGCTTCCGCACCAGTTCCGATGCCACAGTGCTAAGCTGTAGGACGCTGTCATCCATCTTCTTACTGAACGCCTTGAACGTATCCACGCGGTCCTCTACATCCTGCAGGTCCTGGTGTTCCGTGGGGATCTGGAAGGTGAGCAGAAAACTGGCACCCACCATCTCATCCTTCTCGGCTCTGCGCTTACCCATCTTCCACTGCTTGTCATCCAGGCAGCTGAGGAAGTGCTGGAAACCCTCATACTGGGAGAGCACAGGGTGGCTGGTCATATGGTCCATCCAGAGGATGAGCCTTCGTTTGCGTTTCTCAATGAAGTCCTCCTCGAAGCGGCCCGTGGCCTGCTTCTCGGGCAGGTGGGGCACTGAGATCACTGTGAACTTGTGTAGAAGGCGGTTGTAGAGCCAGTCAAAGTGTTTGTAGCGCCGGTAAACGGGTGAGCCAGCATGGGTGGGGGTAAGCTTGTAGGAGATGTAGCTTTTAATGCCTTTGAACTTGGTCTGTTTGGTGGGGTCCTCTATGGAGCAGGCAAATGGGTGGGGGTTGGCCTTCCACTGAGGGCCTCGTGGTCCCATCTCAATGGGGTATGTCTCTGCAATCTTGGCCATCATGGGCACATCACCAAGGATGAAGGCCTCCACTCCAGATCGTACAAAGCACGAGAAACGATTGAGGTTCCGTCCTACCACACTTCCCCGCTTGGCGGATGCCAGACTGTCCTGTCTTTCCAGGGGTGCCTTGGGTCGGAAAGCCATATGCTGGTTGGGGTAGGCACCCGGATAGGAGAGGTTGAGTGGAGGGTGCCCATTGGTACCTAAACCACCAGCCAGTGGCTCTTCTACCACTGTGCATCCATCATCCCAGTCATCCCAGTCGTCATCGTCGTCGTCCTCAAAGCTTCCTTGGTTTGAGAGGAAGCCGCTGCCCCCACCACTTCTGGCTGGGCTGGCCATACTAGGGCTGCTATACAAACTCACCTGGGTGCCCAGGGAGCCTGCAGGACTGTTGGAATAGTCCACATGGTTGGTGCTGATGCCGGGACGGACAATCTCAACGTAAGAAGCAGGGAAGAGCCCTGTCTCCCCACGGCTGTTCTGTCCCTGCAGCCAACCATCCAGTGACGTCTCACTGAAAACAACCAGGTCTTCATCTTGCTGGATGCTGATTTCTTCCTTGTTCTCGCTGTGGAAATCATAGAGGGCTCGGCCTTTCAGTGCCATGGCTAAGCTATCTGTCAGGTCAAGACTGGGAGGAAAATGCCTAGCCCGGACCTGAGATGTTCAGCAGGGTGTCCCCAAAAAAGCAGAGTCTCAGCATGCACAGATGCTGTCTAGCTGCCTTTTGGTCAAAGAAGTGTCCATGGTCCAGAAACCGCGTTGGGATATCTGCCTGTAAGCAGGGAGGAGTCGGTCATGGCCAGTCTTTCTCCTCTCCCTTTGCAGCTCCTGAAAAGGAGCGAGTCTCTCCCTACTCACGCAACAAGCAGAAAAGTCAAATGACTTGGAGAAAACAGCTCTGCTAGAGGAATGCAACAGACACTTTCCGCTAGAACACAGTTGTACAACAGAAGAGAATTACCCACGGACCACGGTCCCAGGAACGCAGGCAAGGTTCTGCCTCCCCTGGCTCTCTGCTCTTCGTGGCTGCTCCGGCTTTGGGAGGCTCTCACATTCCTCTGGAGATCTGTTCCTTCCTCCTTCCTCTCTCCTCCCGGGCCATCGCGTCTTCAAGAATCCAGAAAATCCAAGAGGGGCAAGGAGAGTAACAGCAGAGTCCTGAACCAATTCCAAGGGTGGATGTGTCCGGCCTCCAAACGAGCCAGGCCAGGAAAACAAGAGCCAAAGCTTGCACAACCGGCCGATAACTACCTCGACCTAGGGGGTGCGACCCCGTCTCCGCCCGCTCTGGTGCCCTCTTCCCGCCCTGCAAAAGGCCAGCCCCCACCCCTAGATAACAAGGGGGCGCGACAAGCGGCGCAGAGGACTTCTGGCCTCTTTCTCTCAGTGCCTCTTTTGTTTGCCTAATTCCTCGGCAGTTTCGGAGTACGAAGCTGACCCGGATCGGAGTCCCAGAACCCCTGTCCAGAAGTAACGCTAGTAGAAACCTCCACCATCACCACCCCCGCCCCTGATGTGCCCCCAAACACTCAACAGCAGTCGGTAGATAGAGCTCTGTCGAATAGATGGCGTGGCCGGGTGTTTGTCCGTCCGTAGGTTCCGTTCTCCCCGATGCCCTCTGGATCCGACCAGAGAGGGACTAGCTGAGTAGCTGAGCCCCAGCCTCTTGCCTCCTTACTCCTCACTCGCAGCCCTTCAGCGCTGCCAGCAGGAAGCCAGATCCAAAACAAACAAACACTCTCCCATTTAAAAAAAAAAAAAAGAAAAGAAAAAAGAAAAACAAAAAAAAAGAAAGAAAGAAAAGAGAAAAGGAGGGGGAGGAGTCCAGGAGGTGGCGTTCCGAGGAAGGAGGTTAAAGCTGTAGGGGAGGTGAGGGGTGGAGAGAGAGAGGGAGGGAGGGAGGTATGAGGGAGGGAAAGCAGGCTACGGAATTCAACAAACTCTACAGCACTTCCGTGCGTCCTGGCCGGGCAGGGACCGCGCAGCTCCGCCCTCCCGCGGCCAGGGTGCCACCGCCGGCCTTCCGCTCACTTTCCTTCTGGCGGGCGCCCTCCCTTTCTCGGGTTCAGTCCGGGTGGCCGGGATCCAGGAAATGGACCCGGGAGTCGGGGAGCTGCGAGCTTTCAGCAGCCGAGTAGCCGGCGCCCAGAGCCGCTTCTCGCCCGGGTTGGAGCGCCGCGCGGGGGAGCTCGCCAGTCGCTGCCGAGCTTCGCCTCCTGGACTTGGTCATCCATCTGCCTTTTCCGTGACGCAAGTGCAAGAAAACTCCGAAAGTCTGTGGAGCGCGGAGTGGCAAGGAGGGAGCTAAAGGCTAGGAGAACCGCCCCGGCTGCGGGGGAGCAGAGCTGCGGACTCCCTTTTCCCAACCTCCTTTTCCGCCTCGCGTGCTCCGACATGTCCAGGGGCTAACACAGCTCTGGGATTGTTCTCAGAGGGTGGAGGCAGCAAACTGAGACCCTGGTGTCTCGCATGTGATAACCGATGCTGTGAACCTGATCGTGAGAGAAGTCCTTCTGCCTTCGGCAGCTCCCGGGAGGGTTTGGGGGAGGGGGGGGTCATAAGACCACATACTTCTGCAGTGACAAGTGATAAAGTTAGGCACAGGCGGGTTCTGGGTTGCTTTGTCCTTTCGAGGGAGCCGGATCTTCCATTCAGGCCGGCAGCAAATAGCAAGGAGAGAGGAGTGGTCTCTAGGGTTCCAGGATTTGACCCTCCAGATTATGCAAAACGAGGTGAACTCTATTTAAGATAGGAATTGTACTGAACTCTGGAGCGAATATCAACAGTTGGATTGCTGCTGTGCCCCTCTGGTTTTTAATTCACAGTCTGTCTCATCATTTAGTTATGTATTCCAAACAACAAATTAACCGAGAAATTATGTTTGTCTTCTGGAAGGTCGCAAGTATCTTCACAGGTAGGCAAGATGTTTCTGCCTAGTGTGGCCAGTGCTGTGCAAAAATGCGTGAGAAGGCACTTAACTCCAGCCTGAGTGGAACACACACAAGGACCTTCCCAAAGGTTGGTGACCCACACCTTCAGTCTCAGCACTAACAGGGATAGGCTGATCTCGGAGTTTGAGGTCAGCCTGGTCTACAGAGTGAGTTCCAGGACAGCCAGGGATACACGGAGAAACCCTGCTTCTCTGTCTGTCTCTGTCTATCTCTGTCTCTCTCTCTCTCTCTCACACACACACACACACACACACACACGGACCTCCTCTTCCTCTTGGAGCCCTAGAGCCTTGTTAACCCAACCTTGCTAGGGCTTCCTACCTCCCAATCACTGTACTTATTTATTGCTGGCTAGCTAGTATTAACTAGTGCTGCTGGAGGTTGGGGCCTTTGGCTGGTTTGAGCGTCACGATTCCTGGCCCTCCGGCTCCAAAACTCATTTTTTCATTGTTAAAATTTGACTCCCTCTGAAGGATAAGAGCTTGTCGTGATGACACACATGGGAGGCTGAGTGAGTGCCAGGCCAGCCTATGCCACATCTAGCAAGATCTTACCAAAAGTTAGAAAAGCAAACCGGGGAGCTGAAACAGAACTGCCATGAGTTGGAAGCTGGACTCCAGTGTGAGACCCCTTCTCAGATAAACAACAACAACAACTGAGCCGGGTGTGGGAGTGGACACATTTACTCCCAGAACTTTCGAGACAGAGGCAGGTGGATCTCTGTGTGTTCTAGGCCAGCCAAAGATACATAGCAAGACTCTGTTTCAAATTCCTAGCCCTTGGAAGGCAGAGGTGACAAATCTGAGGCTACCCTTGATTCTATGTAAGTTGGAGGGTCGCAAAACTAGGTGTTATGGTACATGCCAATAACCCAAGCACTTGGAAACAAGGGCAAGTTTTAGCTCAGCTTTGTCTATGAAGTAAATATAGAACGACTAAAGCTACACAGTGAGATCCTGCCTAAAGAAAACCAAAAGCACAAACCCTAGAATCTGGGTAATTTTACCCAGGAAAAAAAACAGTTATGAAGCAAAACTGAATTTTTGCTTCAATGGATCAAGTGTTGGGTTTGCTCCTTGGGATCCCCATTGACCAGGTTAGCCCATGAGGCTGATGCATCTCCCCTCCACCCCCAAGAAACCTTGTCCCTTGCTATATAAGCAGCCGCGACCCTAAAGACTTGGTTGACTGTTCCTCCCAGCTGCTGTTCTTTGTTTGCACAGGGTCCTGCGATGTAGCCCTAGCTGACCTAGAACTGGCTATGGACCATGCTGGTCCCAGACTCACAAACATCTTCTCCCCTCTGCTGGAGGCACTTTCCTACCTGTGTGAGTCTCTTCTTGTCCCTATAATCTCTTGTTCAGGGACCTTTCCTCTAGCTGTGACTAACAATAGCAACTATTTCCTTAGTGCTTGCTGAGGATTTGGTACAGTTTGCAGACACTCCTTGCCTCTATGAGTGTACTTAATACAGCTGATAGGCTTTCAAAAGCATGGGCACACCCCCACTACCTTGATCGCCTTTTGTGTATGTGTGGTACTGGGGGCAAGGGGAGGGGGTTTGGTTTGAATCTAGGGACTGGGCATGTTGGCCAAGCACTGTATCACTGAACTCAGCACTCGTGTTATCTTTTGAGTTAGGGTCTCACTACATTGCTGCTTAGACTAGCCTTGAAACTGGCTCTGTCATTCAGGCACACCTTTTTGTAGTCCTTCTGGCCTCAGTCTCCTGAGTATTTGTAAAACAGGCTTGCTTCCTGTATTGTCTTTGCTTTGCTTCCAACGCACATTTAAATGACAGTCATCTTGGATTTATGTTTATGCTCTAGGTATATTCTGCTAGTTCTTTTTTGTTTTGTTTTGTTTTGTTTTTGTTTTTTCAAGACAGGGTTTCTCTGTGTAGCCCTGGCTGTCCTGGAACTCACCCTGTAGACCAGGCTGGCCTCGAACTCAGAAATCCTCCTGCCTCTGCCTCCCAAGTGCTGGGATTAAAGGCGTGTGCCACCACTGCCCAACTTAAATTCACTTTCTTTTATCCTGTCTATTCTTTTTTTTTCCCCTTTCCCTTCTCCCTCTCGCTCCAACCCGCTCACTCTGGCCCCATCCTTTCTGTTTTTGCATGTGTATGTGTATCATGTGTGTTTGTGTCCGTGTGTGTGGAGGGATGAAATTGATATTGAATGTCTCTCTTAGATTGCTCTTGAATACATTGAGTTAGGGTTTCTCGCCTGAACCTGTTGGACCCTGAGATCCAAACTGGGAAGATGCGCTCCCACAGAAAAACTCACAGACAGGGGGTTCGATGCAAATGCAAGAGGTTTATTGATCCAGTGCTCTGGGGTCCCCCCCCCACACACACAGGCTAGAGGAACCCCAACCTAAAGCTAAGAGCAGTTTTTATACAGTTTTCACAGAGCTTATGATGGCAGTCTTACAATCACCTCTTAGACAATGCTTAACCAAAAAGGCTGACCACAAACAGCTGCTCGCTCTCATGCCTGGTTTCCTGGCAACTCATATTTGCACATTATCTTATGACAATGAGTGTTAGCTAAGTCTATCTTACCATAACTCCTGTTTACCCAGGTTTATTGCGCTAAGGGCCCAGCTTCCTGATAACCTCTTATCTTGGGCCCATCAAAAAGAACAATGTGAAGTCAGTCTTAAGGTACAAACCACAACCTATGTTTTGCTCAAGATAGATTTCTCTGGAGATCTCCAGGGAGCTCAGTTAGATAACTCTACTCACAAAGACTGAAACCTAGTCTTTTATTTACATATCAATTCAGTCATTTACTCCAGATTCCCTTTTGATTAGCCCACAAAACAGTGTTCAGTGACCCTCACCCCTTGATTCTTAGAAAGAGACAACAAACCTATTGTTTTCAACATTGTAAATGGACTCAGAGATCTGACAGCCTTCAACAGTACAGACAATAAGCTAGCTGGGTAGGATTCTGTCTGGAGATTACCATTCCTACCATGCCTGGGCCTAGACCTGAACTGGCTCTGTCCTAGGCTAACCTTGAACTTGAGAATCTACCTGCCTTTGTAAGCATAAACAGTAAGCTTGGCTGGGCAGGATCTTGCCCTGCAACCATCACTCCCCAAATCTCTTTATCTTCTTCCTCAGTATCTTTCTGACAAGCTGGCTCATACTGCAGCTGTCTTTGTTCTTTTAGATATGTGAAACCCCTTATTCAATTCATATTGCATCCTTATATTTTTTTTTTTGGTTTTTCGAGCATCCTTATATTTTGCATAGTTGAGAAATATATATAAAGATTTATTTATGTGAGTACATCCATGTCTTTTTTTTTAAGACTTATTTATTTATTTTATGTATGCCAGTACACTGCTGCTGTTTTCAGATACACCAGAAGAGGGCATCAGATCGCATTACAGATGACTGTGAGCCACCATGTGGTTGCTGGGAATTGAACTCAGGACCTCTGGAAGAGCAGTCAGTACTCTTAACCACTGAGACATCTCTCTAGCCCCCAAAATTATATATTTTTGAACTCATGTGGTTTTTTTTGTTGTTGTTTGTTTTTTGAGACAGGGTTTCTCTGTATAGTCCTGGCTGTCCTGGAACTCACTCTGTAGACCAGGCTGGCCTCAAACTCAGAAATCTACCTGCCTCTGCCTCCCAAGTGCTTGGATTAAAGGTGTGCACCACCACTGCCCGGCTGAACTCATGTTTTCAGAGTTCTTTCCCACAGACTTAAGGGGTGTCCTGAAGGTCATAGTGTTTACGCTTTTTGCTAAGGACATAGGCACACCC